ACGAGCCGTTACAAAGAAACAGCAACCAAGCAGTGGGGACGAGATAAAAAAACTACCGGCCATTGAGGGACAATGGCCGGAAGTCAACGACGTTGTCCAAAAACTGCTTTTACGCTACGTAACGCTTGGTAAGTACCTGAAAGACCATTACACACTGTGGTTCGACATGAGATCCAGGGACGACTACAAACTGCACGGCAGCAGATGCCGCATCGAGGACGGCAGCGAGGGGATCACCATCCAAATCACTAAGAAGGCGCAAAATCCGGCCGGCAAGTGAAATTTATATTTGTACGTGATTATGGACGTGCAACTGAACATAGACAATGGAAGATTCAGGCAAGCCATATATTGATTTACCCCGCGATCCGCACAGCGCCATCGTGTGCGGTCAGACCGGATGCGGCAATACGGCATTCGTGCTGGACATGCTGGAAGGTTACTATCATGACGTGTTTGATCACATCGTCATTATCTGCCCTACTTTACTGATGAACAAGACGTACACAGAAAGGCCGTGGATGATGAAGGACCTGGACGTGCGCAAAATAGAATAAGAAGTATGTTCCCAGTTACAACACGAGCAAACCGACCAAACACATCCTCTATCTCGACGCAAACAACCTGTACGGCTGGGCCATGAGTCAGTATCTTCCCACCAGGGGATTCGAATGGGTCTCATCTGATATAGACGTCGATAGCGTTGAGCCGGATTTGAACAAAGGATACATACTCGAAGTGGACTTGGAATATCCCGCAGAATTACACGAATCGCACAACAGCTATCTGCTAGCTCCCGAACGATTGACGGTGAACCCGGACCGGATGTCTGAATATCAATGAACGTTGCTGGGGAAATATCAGCTGGCTAACGTCGAGAAATTTGTACTGGACTTGATGAACAAGAAAAAATACATCGTTCACTATCGTAACCTGCAGCTGTACTTGTTGCTGGGAATGAAACAGGGCGTTCAAGTACGAGCAAAGTCCGTGGATGGAGCTCTACATCAGAATGAACACGGATTTACGAAAGCTGGCCACGAGCGATTCTGAGAAAAACTTGTACAAACTCATGAACAACTCAGTGTTTGGCAAGACGATGGAGAATTTGAGAAAATGCATTAACGTGAAACTTGTCAGATCAAGCGAAGAAGAAAAACTCAGGAAACTGATAGCCAGCAGGTGTTCAACCGAAGCAAGCTATTTGATAACGACTTGGCAGCGCTGCACATGAACAAAACCCACATCAAATTCAACCGGGCCTGTTTACGTGGGGATGAGCATCCTCGACTTATCCAAACACCTGATGTACGACTTTTATTACAACGAGCTGAAGAAGCAGTACAGCGACAAGTGCGAAGTGCTGTACATGGACACGGATTCCCTCGTAATAGCCATTTGTACGACACCAGTGACTATCCGAAAGACCATCCTTTACACAGCCAAGTCAACAAAAAAGTGCTCGGCAAGATGAAAGACGAATGCGCGGGCACGCCGATCGCCGAGTACATCGACTTGAGACCCAGATGTATTCCATCAAGAAAGCAGACGATGACAAAATCAGAAAGGCAAAAGGCGTGAAAAAATACATGGTGAAAAAACTCATCAAGCACACCAGATTCAACGAAGCCTTATTCAAAACCCGCACTTTCAAACACCAAATGAACATGTTGAGAAGCGACGGACACAGGGTATATGGACTGAAAATCAACAAGATGTCACTGTATGACATGGACACGAAACGATGGATTGCCACTGACGCAGTCACCACTTACGCGTATGGACACACACGCACATTAAATAATTAAAAAATGCACATACATCATGGAGAAAATTTACGACAGCCCACGCACATACTGGAAATGCGCGGACGCCATCCAAAAACTCACCAAAGCCTCTCGGTGAGAAGCCTCAAAGATTCGAACGAAGTCGCCAAAGCCTTAGAACGCATATACAAACACAGTCGCTTGACTTAGCCTGCCGTATTGCAAATCGATCCCGGACGCGAGTTGATGGGAGCCGTGTCGCAGCTGCTGGCCAAGCACGACGTCCAGGTGAGACGAGGCGTGGCTGGAGCTCACTGCAGCCAAGCCATCATTGAGAGATTCAATCGCACATTAGCGGAACACCTGTTCTCACACCAATACTCGCAGGATTTAATCCATCCCGAAAACAGAAATACAGAATGGGTCGTACGTTTGCCGCAAGCGGTGGATGCCATCAACAACGAAAGCACCAGACTTGTGGATAAGAGACCCGTCGAAGCCATCAAAATGAAATCTGTTGAATCAGCAGCAGCGGCACGTCATGATAAAACAGAGAAAAAATTACTGGACCGGGTCAGCGTTAGGTACTTGTACCAGTTGGGTACGGTGAATACAAGGGAGACAGCAGAAACGCGCCACCGATCCAATATGGTTCATGGAAATGTACAGCGTAGACCTGGTCGACATCAAATACGGCGAACCGAACTTGTACTACTTGAAAGATGGGCCGCCAAGAGCATTCGTCACAGGAAAAATAACTTGGTTTCCAGACACCGGAAACCTAACAGAAATGTAATGGAAACTTAAGTTTCAATTAGGTTTCAGGACCGTTTCTCTACATTTCCTTCAGGTTTCCGGAAAACGGAAACTTACAAATTACCCAGAAACCAGTATGGCTCCAGTGCGTTTCCGTTACCGAGCTTCCTGTAGGGCTCCAGTGCGTTTCCGTTACCCAGTTTCCTGTAGGGCTCCAGTGCGTTTCCGTTACCCAGATTCATGTAGGGCTCCAGTGCGTTTCCGTTACCCAGATTCCTGTAGGGCTCCAGTGCGTTTCCGTTACCCAGATTCCTATGAGGTTCCATTGGGTTTCCCTTATCCTCTACTTTCAGATGGTTTTATTTATTTACTTAGTTCAATTATTTTTCCCTTTGATTTTCGTTTCTATTAATCGCATTAACCATGTTCCATAAGTTTCAGTAAATCAGGATCAGTATGGCTCCATTTGGTTTCAATTATTAGTATTCAGTGATTACCATATGTCCATATTAAATTATGATTATTCAACTATATTAACTGTAGTTGAAATGAGTTAATTATATACTAGCCACATAAAGAAACTGTGCATTGTCAAAATATTATCCCAGTTGATAAGTACGATAACAATGTCAAAGGTATATATAAACTTTAATGGAGGGATCATGAGACCATAACAAGTCGGGAGAATTTCAATTGAAAAGTCAATCACAATGACGTCACGAGTCCACAAGCGGGACAGGGGTCAAACGACCATGTCACAAGCTCAATAACGGGGTATGTCCATCATCGGCATTGAGAACAGCAGTTCATGGACGACGCATAGAGCCTATCAAATGTGCAAGGAAGTCTTTTGGGATATCACGCCAGATTCTCTCAAGTTGCAAGGTCAAGGACGTTATCTGGCGGATGAGGAAGACGGCGTAGACATCGATCCATCTCGTACCAAACATGCTCTATCAGGGAGAGGTCCGGGTGAATTTGCAGGCCAAGGCAGTAAGTCAACGTTGTGGTGTTGCAATAAATCAATAGCAACCCTAGCCGTATGAGGGCGGGCATTGTCCTGTTGGAATGTTAACCCAGGGCCATGACGTTGCAGAAAAGGAATTGCCACATGTCGAAGAATCTGATCGCTGTAGCCCACACCAGTTAAGTTGCCCTGAACAATCACCAAAGGAGTTCTTTGGCGTGTTGTTATTCCACCCCAAATCATCACGGAACCACCACCAAAGCGATTCCTCTCCAAGACACAGGCCTGTGCATAACGTTCCCCACGCCTCTATAGGCACGTTGACGTCCATCACTATGGGAAATATTAAACCTGGACTTACCTGTGAAAACAACATTTCTCCACCAAAACAAGGGTCTGCGGACATGATTTGGGCACCACATTCAGCGAGCTTGTCGATGGCGTTGTGTCAGGATAGGCCGTATGGCGTTGTTGTCGTGGTCTGACGTAAACGTTGTCAAACTGTGTTGGGGTGGATACGGCGAAGTCCAGGGATGGTTCGGGCAGTCATCACTGCAGTCTGAAACCTGTGTCGAAGATGGGTCACCCTTATCCATCTGTCCTGTCTTGGCCGTGGACGGCCAGAACCTGGCCGATCGATGACGTCATTTGTGTTCTGGTAGCGTCACACCAGTGCAGAAATGGTGTTTCGGTGGCAGTGGAAATGTGCAGCCACTTGTCGTTCAGACATTCCCCCATGGACCATCCCAATGGCCTCATGACGTTGTGCAGACGTGAGCCTTGGCATGCTATGCGTTTCAATAGCCGTTTAATTTTTTGAACGATCGCAAGGGCAGGGGTTGAGCTTTCCAAAGTGACAGTATTGTGTGGCATTCATTTGCTCTGTTTCTCTTTCCCGGAATGCACGTGCAACAACGTATTGCACGTCTCAAGGACGAACCCACTGACGTCACGGAACGTGGCACGTGCATGCATGTTGGATACATGTCACTAATCTCTGAGTTTAAATCCTTATGTGTCTACACAGGTTTGATAAATTTAGATTTTAAATTTGTGTATGCAGTTTCTTTATGTGCCTAGTATATATGTGAATGTATTATGTCATATATTTTATTCATAATACCTTCAAATATAAAATAAACTCATTTCAACTACAGCTACCTCAACACCACATGGACATAGAAAAAATAAATATAATATCAGTCAGTCAGTCGATTCTCTTTATTCATCAAAAACACATCATGTCTATGTTTCAATGTTACAATTATACATTGTCACAAATCACAAAATCCTGTAAGCTGATTTCTCCTTATTCAGAGAGGAATGCACACTAAAAAACACACAAACCACTTGCACACTACTGACTGACTGAGTTTGGTTTTACGCCGCTTTTAGCAATATTCCAGCAATATCACGGCGGGGGACACCAGAAATGGGCTTCACACATTGTACCCATGTGGGGATTCGAACCCGGGTCTTCGACGTGACCATTAGGCTACCCCACCGCCCCACTTGCACACTAACATGTATGTACATTTATTATTTAATATTATTATGCTAAGACAGGTTTAAGGGTATTCAAAACGACAGACAGACAGAGAGAGAGAGAGAGTCATCACAGGCCCTATGGATTTGAAATTTTGTCGGAGTAGTAGTTTGTTCAAATAAATATTATGGAGCGGTTGGCATTTTTTTAATATGAAGGACATTAATTTCTTTTTAATCTTAGTGTCAGAAACAACAAATGTAGTTGTTTTTTCCTAAACAGGGTGAATACAGGAAATAATTGAATGTAGTTTTAGACATTCCATCCTATCCCTGAATATCATGAATCATATTCTCAATGACCAGGGTGGAAGACCTTTAGGTGGTTGGAATGCATCTTGCTGGATGGTGTCGCAAGTTCTTCTTTTTTGCCTCTGGCGCGTCAGACACCACTGGCGATGTCCATTCTGGGGTTAGGACTACAGCCACCTTCTGTGTTCTTTACTCTGTCCAGTTAATAGTAGCTAGATTCTTCAGGCGCTGTTGGAGTTTCTGGGGAAAAAATGAAATTCTTGCATTGCGAAAGTTATGTCCAACATTTATTCTTGAGAGCGGCACTTGGTCTAATTAGATAATGGCACATTACGGTGATGGGTAATGACATGAGATAAGGAAAGTTATTCTATTACAGGTATATAGCGATGTGATAATATGTAGCACATCATGTCAGTTAAGACTCAGGAAGTTTATAAACCGGTACAAATGATATTATATAATCCAGTTTCAGGAACTTACAGATCGGATTCTTTTGTTTCTTATAGCATCTTCCCTGTGTTTTTCTTCCTTTCCTGTAATCTGCCGACTTCGATCGTACCTCTTGCTCCTCCAGATTATCCAAAAGGCTTCTATTAAGAAAAGCAAATGAGTTCATTTTGATTCATCCAATAATAGATTATTACAATCCTACAAACATTCATCATTATCATATTCACCATGCATCAAACCAAGTAATAAGTAACAGGGCTCGATTTAGTGCTTTGTTCCTTGCACTGGTGCAACCCAATATTATAAAGTGCAACTTAGTTATGAGTCTAGCTTGCACAAGGTGCAAGTCAATTTTTGAGAAATCAATCAACAATAAATCTAACATTATAAGCATTAGTATGTCAGCTCATTATTCTTCTAAACTTTGAATAGCTATGGCACTGAAACATTGCTTTTCATGGACACGTCTTGGTTATGACAGCTCTTGTAAACAGGGATCAGCTGGGTTTCTGTGTGGCTATGGCTTCACGGAAATATGTCTATGTGCACCGAAACCTCTGACATTTTAACACAATACGTTGCAAGTGGAATTTGGTTGGGGCAACTAGGTCTTTATCTTAGGTTGCACCTGGTGCAAGTAGGTTAACATATCTTATATCGAGCCCTGAGTAATTGTGGTATATGTATTACTGAGACGGTATGAGAAGTCTTCTATTAACATGGTCGACAATGTGCTACATAATGGTATGGTATGCTATGTCAATTCTACGAGATAACTGACAGAATGAAATAATTATATGCTAGATTTACCCAATTGTGAACAAGCAACGAGTTGATGACAATTTTAATTTTAGTTTGCATTTATGTGTCAATGACATCTCTAATGTTATAAAACCCAACATATATATTGATTTATGATGTCGAGCAATAATAAAACTTGAAGAAAGGTATTTTACCTTAAGTAAGACAATTTAATGGATTTTCAAAGGACTCCACGGACTTTTCCATGATTCTTCTCACAACAGCCAAAAACAAAAAGAGACACACATTTGGATCATGAACATATGTCGATTGGTAATATTTTCCACCTAATTATCATGAATTACTTGTTTTGGCCTACCTTTAGAATACAGCACCACAAACTTTGAAATTACGTCATAATACCCATTTACGTAATTTAGTGTGACTTTGTTCCAAAGCACGTTCTCGAAACAATGCCCTATGACGCCAGCATGGCAACACGATTGTCAAGGTCATCGAGTGCGTATAAGCTCCGTTCAGTGATGTTTCATCTCTACTGGCTATCTCATTGCATAAGCCCAACGATGTTGAGAGTTTCCAGCAATAGTTTACAGGCGGATGCGCAATTATTTGCAAGCACCAGTTTACCATGTTTTGTTTTTTCACAAATACGCTGATAATAATGTACATTACGGGGTGCTGAGGTGTTATACTTTGTGTTTTTTGTGTTTTTATTGCATTTTATATTTTTTCAATTTAGTAAGAATGCATTTTACCTGTCACATTATGCCAAAATCTATTATTCGCAGTTTTGGTCAATTTAATCATTATATTAGGGTTTAGGGTTAGGTGGGATTTCAGGGTTAGGGTTAGTTAGGGTTTAGGGTTAGGTTTAGGGTTAGGGTTTAGGGTTAGGGTTTAGGGTTAGAAATGGCTTTGGTTGGGGCGGGGATTCTATTTTTTTTTTTTTAAATCCATGGCGAACGTGCACACAAGCACCATACATTTACTATTGTGAATGAAATTAATAATACACTCAGCAAAAGTAAATGTAATGGCGTTTGGTGAAAACCAAACATGGATCGAGGCGTCGTCGTTCAAGGCATGATCAGTACTCAGTCAGTTGGCAGGAGAGGAGGCAGCAAGAACCGTGGAGGAAGCAAGCTGAAGTGGAATGGATCCAGGCATGTTATTAATAGGATACTGTCGGGTAACCTCACAAGTAGAGCATCAAACAAATCCCTTCACCCCAAGATACCTTTACTCTCCAGATATGTTCATTGAGATAGGATTCAAAGAGAGACTTGACAGTGCCGTACTTATTCATGGAGCGCCAGCATGAAGCCATGCTCCTTCAATTGTATTTGTATGCGCACCTGTAATGGGGTCTTTGAAATTCTCGAATGGTTGACAGTGAGATGTGTGTATCCGGATCAGAATCGAGAGAACTGTATGATTTCCAACAGTCAGAAATGATAGTAGAACCGGGTAAAATCCATTGCTTGATTAATGGAATCAAAGTGTCAGCATCACGGCGTTCTACTGGTACCATAAAAATCTTATGTCGGGCCAATCTCTCAACACCTCCGAACACCCACTGGCCCTACACATAATGACCTTTATGATACTTTCGTTTGCCAAACTTTGATTCATCAATCTCAACAATAATACCTGGCCCACCTATCTTTTTCCATTCTCCCATAAACCGACTTATCACACACCTCACGACAAAAGTTGTACCAGTCAGTAGTCGTTGCTGAAGAAAAACCGTACTCAGTCTGACAATCAAGCTGAGAGCGGTTCCGACACCAGTGAAAAATCAATTTCAAACATTCAGCCATATTGATGCGAGCATCAGAGAACCAGCTTTTAGTTCGGATTGATTTGTAACACTGATGTCTAACTCCATCAATCGTTCTCGACAAGCCCAACGAATGCCGTCACTACTCCGATGAATCCCAGTTGCCTCTGCAATATACATTGACCTCTTGCATACATCACAGGTGACATGGTTACAGAGTAACCCACGGTTCATGCACCAAGCCAAAGTAGCACGAATCGTCACAAATACATGAAAGAGCAACCAATCATAAGTTATGACCCTGGAAGCCCTCCCCAAATCTCTCCCATATGAACTTACCCAAGGAGCATCAGTACAACTTGGAAATGAAGGAAAACTGCCATCCGCCTTCCCAGTGTCTACCACATCCTTATTCCTGGCCCTCTTATCCTTACTCCCATGACCCAAGTTCTCCTTCCTTGCTCCCCTGCGCCACACTTTCTTTTCCATCACAAAATCCTCAAACGAATCCTCCAAAGATCCTGCCATCGTGAATTACGATGTTTGCCCTTTCAATGTCAAGAGCGAAATGACGCTTAGATTTCCCAGGCCCGCGAACTTGCGCAAGGAAAAAAAGAATGACGTCATGTGTTTCCAAGGTTACCCGTCATTTCCGAACAACTTCGACATTGTCCGTGGTACGAAGTCACGCGACACTGTAGACTTCGTGGGTTTCCGGTGATTTCCGTGACGTCACAGGAATGACTCGATAAATTTGCACATTGTGCAACAGTGTGGACGTAGCTCAGTCAGTTAGCTGTCAGGCTAACAATCCGAAGGTCGCGGGTTCGCGTCCGACGGGTTCTCACAAACTGGTTGCCTGTCTTAATGACATGTGACCTACGGCAGAGATCGTCCTCACGAGAAGTTGTGGTGCTGTATTCTAAAGGTGCTCCCTTGTTTTATCTATATTTGTTGCCTTGCTTCATATAACCATATCAGACTCAACGTACAGGAACACAAAGGCATACTTGTATCAACAATACTGTTGGTTTTTTTACAGATTTCAAACCAAAATGCAATGTCCACATTAATAACCGTGAGCAAAATCGAAATGCGAGCGCATCGTTACTGTAAGATAAAGGTTGCTACCGAAAACGTTTAATTCGATGCAAACTGACTGCTATGATAAGAAAATAACGAATTTCATCTGAAACCTACCTGACAAGGACGGGGTACTGCTAATTCCTGTGGGTGCAGGCTAAAACGGAACCACAGCAAAACGGCACCAGGCGAAAACGGCACCATTTGGACATAACGGAACCTCCACTTGGCGAAAACGGCTACAAATCTTATGGTGAAAACGGCACCAAATAAAATTATAATTATTGGGAACATCTTATTTGCATTATTTGTCATTAGATAATCTGAAAACAGAATTTTGGAAGCCGTCTACTCTGCCGACAGTGATTGGAAAGTTTGTGTTACCTGATAATCGGATTCCAGTATTATAAGGGTAATGCTATTTTTGAGGGCATTATCATTTGCAGAAGCCCGAGGTCTTCCATTAACTGTTGATAAAGACCGAGGGCTTCTGCAAATGATTATGCCCTCAAAAATAGCATTACCGTTATTATTGCTAAAATACATGGAATTTGTGTTGAAAAAAAAAAGGAAACAATGAAGGAATTTGACTGTACGTTTACCCAAATCAACTTCTGACGGGCTTGACTGCCCGAATGCAATTACGTCATCGAACAATTCAAGTGACGTCACAACAGAAAGTGACGATATTCGACCTTGGCCTTTGACAAGACCATAGCCTGCAACATGTCAAGCTATGACAGTGTTCGGTTTTGGTCCATCAACAGTCTTAATAGTGCAATTGTTAAGGTTAGCACCAACAAGAAAGCCAATATTACCGCTATTTAAAGCGGGAATTCGGGTTGCTTTGACTTGTTTGACCCAGAATATCTCCCAGTCGAAAGCCACAAATGTCGAACTATGACGTCACTTGACAACAGAACTGATAGTGGCCCGTCGTTAAGGTTGAGCGGTCCAATATCATTTGCAGCGGACCGCAAATTTCTGATAACAGGAGGTCCGTTTCATGATAATTCCATGTATTTTAGCTATAAGTTTAGATAATGAATGAGTCTGACTGATAATCGGCTTGTAGAATGTTTCGATAGTCAAAACATCTACTGTGCCGAGAGTGATTGGAAAAGCCTGTAAATTTAGCGTGAAAACATCACAACCTTTGATGTTTTAAGTACATTTACTCAACTCAGACTTATACAGGAAGGAAGGCTGAAGGCATACATCCGAAAATCCTCAACAGCTAGGCAGGAGGAGGTTTTCGAATTGTGGAGTTAATTCAAGGATGGAGACCTGTCTCTGTCGCAGCTACTGTCAAGATGTGCGATGATCCATGGACCAATCGTTCAAGCATCCGGCCAAATATGGACGTGTGAACATGTGTTATGTTGACGGTTTGTTATCGTCTTTATTATAATCTTGTTATTTTAATGTAATGGTTGATTGAGTGAGTTATGATTTTACGCCGCTTTTAGCAATATTCCAGCTATATTGCGTGTTATAATCTTGCTGAAATAAAAACCATAAGTCAACGTCATACTGTGTTTTTTATATGTTGATTCTAATGTTATAATTAAACGAACTACAACATAAAAGTCAACATCATACTGTGTTTTGTATATGGTGCCGTTTTAGCTCAGAAATCGGTAGCCGTTTTCGCCAATACGGTGCCGTTTTCGCCGCACGATTTTGGTGCCGTTCTGCTGTGGTTCCGTTTTAGCTATAACCCATTCCTGTCCTGGGTTTCCGTTGAGATCGCTCAAGTTCCCGGATCCTTGGTTCCAAATCTTCGATTGTCAAGTATGTTCCCGTGTGTCAAGAAAACTGTAGCACGTATACAGACTGCTATTTCTACTACCTTACTCTCAAAGACTTTACTTCAAAACAACAACAACGAAGTTATTTCTATTGTAAACATGCGAGTAGTCTGCTTACCCTTCACAAGTTTAGAAAAACATTGATAACTGCAATATGTGTTTATGTAAATTGTTTGCTTTTACAATGTCCGTCACATCTCGCGGGGCCTCATTCAAATCAAGCGCTTCCTGTTTCGAGACAACAATTTTAGTACGTGGTCTGACTGCCAGGTGGGCAGCACCTGCTCCCTCGACCGTGACGGACACAGGGACTGGGCAGCTGTCCACCGTGGCAGAATTTCTTCAACCTAAACAATGAAACAATAAGAACGGTGGATGTATTTCCCGTAATAAAGTACTCCAGCAATGTAAGCTTTTTTTCAGATTTTCCGATGCGTTGATCGTATATGACCGATCCAATTTGATCCTATTTCTGTGTTTTTTACCTCGATATTTAATCATATCATCATGTTTGATGACCTGTTATTTTAAAACCACACAGTGTATATCCCTAAGATTTTGTAGGCAATTAACACTGCATGCAATACAGCGATTACTACTCCCTTGCTGTAACTGTGTTTGG